CCCCAAAACCCCAAAACCCCGCAAAATGATGATTGATAATCCAGATTGAAACTGAGAATTAATTATAATTAACATAAATGTATAAATTTTAGGATAATACGCCAACTCCTACAAAGCAAGATCTATCTTAGAATGATAGCCATAGCAAACCACAGAATTCAAGCAGAAGGCCTCGAGCGAATCTATTTACGAAGATTATTGATGGGGATTCGATTATCAATCAAAGTCAAAACATTTAGGAAAGTTTGCACACTATAGATCGTAGTTAGTTGAACATCAACTAAATTTCGGATGACAATAATAAGGCCCTTTAGTCATTATCCTAGAGTCCGGATTGGATAAAGCTATAGACTCGCAAACCTCAGCATATTTACCGTCATTAGAAATATTTCAAAAATTTAATACAAAGCGGATGATTCCATAATGAGCTTGCTAAGCTTATTGTTTCTCAAAAGGCAGTTATTTAAGAAAAGAAGTAGAAAAAGATCAGGAAAAATCATGAAAACAAAGTAAGGCTGTCTCTTACTAAGTCATTGGAAAAGTCACTCTTAGATTTTAATGATGGTGTTTAAGCTTTCGAAGAATATAACGATGAAAACCAAGAAAATATTTAGATTTCTTAGTATAGAAGTAGTTCTATCGTTACTGAACCATTATTAATGAACAAGGATCTTAGGCCTGATGTATATTTTTAGTTCACATAAGACAGAGGTAAAATTGACTAAAGTACTGGAGTGATAAATTACACTCTAGAAGGTGAATACTTGGAAGTGAAACCATAATAAGTCATATTTCCTAAATTATTATCAAATGCTGGCAATAATTGAAATGTTCTCAGCAATAGGATCAATAACAGTGTTAACCTGAAAAAGCAGCAGATTGATAAGGAATGATTGCTTAGAGATATTGATTTGCTTAAAGATTAAAAAATAAACAAAACTATCGAGCTCAGTTATTTAAAGCATCATAAAAGAGGTGAGGATTTCAAAAATTTAAGAATGATAGATAAGTCACTGGATAAAAGATCTAACTACCAAGGTAACTTATCGAAAGTAGAATTAGATCCATTAAGTTGGAAGACCATATTGATTCAAGGGAGGAATCAAAGTTTGAGAGACAAATTTAAAACTACAATAGAAAATACAAAAAATCTACCAAAAATTTCACCAAACCTCCCAATGGTAATTTAGGACCATGAATAAGGTTAAAGTGATCTAAGACTTGTGATTCCAGTTTAATAAGTGCAAAAGAAGTCTATAAGAGATAATTCAAGCTATCATCCATATGAAAATGTGGATATTAATAGAGAACTATAGCTATATACAACATCAACTCATCAGAACTATGCAAATCAAAATAACTATAAAAGTATGGCTATTAGAGGGAGATCTAGATAGCATTCTGAGGATGTTTATGATAATACATTCTCAAAATTAAATATCAACAAAAATAAGATCGCTAAAATTTAATATAATCAAGAAGACAACTTGAAAGAAAGTTCTTAGCTAAATGTAAATAGTATAACTTAGCATGTAGGACTATTCAAAAATAACTTTATAGCTCTTAAGCACCCTGAAAGTTAAAATAGAACCAAGTATTCCAAGAAGTCATCCAATTTTTAGCTGTAATGCTATATGAAGGAGTTAAAGTACGATATATCACTTTCAACTCTCTATGATATTAATGATCGTAATTGATCAAACAATCTTATTAAATTAATTCATAGGAATTTAATTTTTTAATTTCATGATTTTGTAAGATTATTCAAGTATAATGGGGTTTTGGGGTTTTGGG